CAGTACTTACAGGGCACCTAGGGAAGGCAGCCCTAGGCGCATGCAGCCCGAGTACTGAAGATAACTCCTGGCTCTCGCACCCACAAAAACAAACACCACACGCAAAGCACAGTGCTGTACCAACACTGGAGCCAGAGCACCCGACCTTCGCCTATAGCATCAGCCTCAAGAACCGAGGTGTGGGTAGCCGGCGTGGAGGGTCTGGGGCTCCCCCTTCCCCCTCCCTGGGAGGGGGAAGCTGCGCAGACAGCGGCGCAGTGGCGTGTGATGCCACACTAGTTTGCTTGTTTTTCTGTTGGGGAGTTCTATCCACTAGTTCAGCTTTTGGTAGCAATTTTAACCAGAATAGGGGTTTGTTTTGAGGTGCTTACCTTTCTGGGTGTCTGTTCCGGTCGATGGCAGACATAGAATGCTTCCAACCACATGGGGGCTTCTATAGGCCATTGCTCCCCTTGCCTCTCTGAGGGGGCCTGGTTCTGGCCGTGGTCCCCAGTAGGCCTAAGAACTCCACACACATGACTGATGCCAAAGTCTGACATTAGCGTATCAGCCTGGGATAGCTCCGGGGAGCAGACGGGGCTCCCCCCAGAAACCCCACTTCAAACTAAATTTTATACCTAATTCATCTAAATAAACCTACAAAACTATGTTAAAGTTATTACTTACCCTTGCTGAGGACTGCTGTTGGCGTATGGAAGATGGCGAGGAGGAGGGAGAAGAGGTGTTACTGTTTGGTCGGGGAGTCCCCTTCTATTAAAACATCAGGCAGTGAGGACTTCACTGGTATGCACACTCTTGCACATTTTGCTTGCATACCACTAAAACTTGCTTGTCTTACTAAGAATCTGTCTAAAGACACTTTTTTCCCTACATTTTAACACTTGTCTGTAGTACGACATCACATTGTCATTTAAAAGGTCAATGCAACGGCCTGCTACAGCTTTATCTGGGTGAGTTTTTTCAACAAAACTTTGCAATTCTTCCCATACTTCACACATTTCCTTAACACTTTAGCGTTATCACGCCGCTCGAGATCGTTACCACTTTTTGTGTTGTCGCACAGCGGACTCGCTCACGAGTCATGAGAAAAAATATTTCTATAAACTCTATTTGTTATGCGATCGACTTTGGAATAGTTTGAAAATGTCCGCCATGAAATTTCCGTTTTCTCTAATAGCCCCATAGCCTATTTGGGAGAACGGCATAGCATTGCACCATCGAGGTAAGACCATTGTATTGTTGACGCGACAAGTGTAATCAATGTAGTTTTTTATTTGGTGCCGGTCTAACGCATCCTTGTGTGATATTTTATACTTATGTTCTTCTAGAATATTCTATTGCAAACACATTGGTACAAAAATGAAATACGTACATTGAAAATTAAGTCAGGACAGTGAAAAAGAGTATACACTTTTCAGTGTTGCCACTCTATCGCCCGAAACGCCGCACTATTTTCTTAGGTTAAACCTTACCACTGGCTTTCTTGGGACCCATGGCGAGATATATAATAACAACTTTTATGGTCAAATGACCAAAAATCCAACAAAACACTGAAAATCCGGGTGAAGAATTGACTAGGGATAGTCACTGGGCCCGAGGCACTGGTAAACTGAGGGGCGAGAGGCGACGATCGCCGTATCACCAAGCGCTAGATCGGCCTGTACACGTATCAACAAACTCGCCTTCGGAGGCACATTTTCCGAGCAAATACTGCTCGTATTCCGAAAAACTCGTATTCAGGGATACTCTTATTCCGAGGTACCACTATAGGCATTTACCCACAGCTTAGCGTTGGTTGCAGTCTGCCTTACCCGTGGTGTCCTCAACTGGGGAGTGTTATCCGACTGTCATCACTCAAATTACCCCTAGAGTGTTCTTTTCCCAAAAAAACTGTTCATTCACTTCGGCTTGACCGCCTAGGCGTTGCAGTTTACGTCCCCGGTGTTGTCTGTTTAAGGTAGCCCACCCACTTCTTACATTCAGATCCTGCCACTAAGGGTGAGCATAATAGCACCCCCTTAGTTCTCTCCTAGAAGCCGACATCCACTGGTCCCGTGGACTTGCCTCTACTCTATCCATTTATTATTCAGGCTTTAACCATAATTGTCAGTTACACACAGCAGGGGCGCATCCGATCCCACGATTGTCATTGCCCCTAAATCAACACAACACACAACTTCACTCCATGCTTTTTGTTCCAGACTAAACCACCAGCAATGGCTTTCAGATGTAGGTCGGGCCCCCAACTGTGATACAGTATTGCACATTTTATTGATTAACTGCACCATCAGTGCTTTAGTTATTATACTTTATTTAATTTATCATCATTATTATTTAACATACATTACTTGGCATTTATTGCATTTCTCCTCTTGCAAGTAGCCCTGTTCGATTGGTTTGGAGGGGGGGGGGGGGCGTTTAGTTTCACACATGTCCGAGTTTAGTCCTTGCATGCTCCTCACCTGCAGGCACGCAGTGCAAGTACCCAGCATTCTGGGTACACACTCTCTAACACGGCTACGCTGCGTTCTGAATCCTATCTTAAACTTTGGGCCCGATTGCTGGGGCGAATTTTCTAGCCGTCAACTAATGAATCTATTCCCGGAATCACTTCTCGCAATTAACGGCATTCATGCGGCAACTCCTCCCAGTACTTTAATGCAGTTATCTATGCCTTTACTATCGCTTTGATTTAGCTACAGCTTCCACGACGCGTGCTATTTTACCTGCTATTTGTTATTCTATATGTACAGAGCTCCTTTTCCCCTTTGTTGCTGGTTCCTGTATCTCTGTTCTTGTCAAAGAGGTTGTCCTTTCACCATTACTTATTGTTTAACTGCAATGCACTTACTGGGCATTAATTACTTGCTGTGGACTATTTTCTTCCCTAAGCAAGTCTTCTGGAGGCCCTTGCTTCTCCACACTGTCCTACTTATGCCACATGCCCATCCCTGCCAACCCTTACTGCCTTAGTATTTCCAGAATGACTACAGGCCACCGGGAACACCTGATGGACGGCGAACATTGGATGGCGCCCGAGGAACACTCTAGACGGACTGCACGGGTGGGCGCCCGCAGGACCTACTCACCCGCCCTGGGGCCAGCCTTGCTGGGCTAGCCTCTGCGAGGGAGGGATACAGCGACGACGACACCCACGAGGATGACCTGGCGTGGCGGTGCACAGCACGCGCAGCACTCATGCAGTAGTATGCCCACTTCACGAACACCACGTCGCCCGCCTTGCCTACACATGCACCAGGTGGTGCTCCATTAGTCACATCCCGGATGCTGCTTACCTAGCAGCATCAGCCACGTATGCCCGACTCTGTACCTTTTTTCAGTTCAGGAAATCCCGACTGTTTTTTTAACGGCAGAGGTAATGGGTGTACGGGCATGGATGTGGACGCAGACAAGGCAAACGCCAGGATGCCCGCGACGCAGAACTCGCAGCGACGCTCTTCCTGGTGGCATGGCCCCCCTATGTCAGGCAAGAAGTCATCGCCCCTCCACGCTGACGGCACTCGCCCTTTGGGGGAGGGGGGTCCGGCCTGCTGGCCTTGCGGAGTGGGGGTGCAGCGCCAGCCCCTAAGTGTTCCGCTGTCCGCAGCTACTTACTCTGACTTGTAGGAGTAATGTTAATTTTGCCCTCTATGTATATTTTGCATGTACTGGTTAATTTAGTACTAATTCATTATGAATTTACATTAATGTCTTTTCGGGTCGCTTGGACAGGGGCATTATTAAATGTTACGTGTTTAGGCCAATATATGCTACTCTAAATGCCCCGATTCTGCACGACAAATATGTTATGCATTTGCCTTACTTTTACTCATAGATAATAAGTATTCGGTGTTCTGCAGATCTTGATTTAATTAGTTCCCAGCTATAAGCATACTGTATTAATGATATTACGGGGGTTCACTTACGTTGAGGTAGTGTACTCAAAGTTATACATGCCTATGTTATACAGTTGTTAAATATACAAGTTATAGCCGCTTCATTAACATGTTCTGCAGTAAGTATTGCCAGAACAGCCGTGGACATCTTCAAGAGAAAACTAGACTGTTTCCTCCAAGGAGTGCCGGACCAACCGGGCTGTGGTGGGGTATGTGGGCCTGCGGGCCGCTCCACGCAACAGCCTGGTGGACCAAGCTCTCAGAAGCCAAGCCTGGCCTCAGGCTGGGCTTGGGGAGTAGAAGAACTCCCAGAACCCCATCAACAAGGCATCAACCGGGTATGTATGTATATACTTACATACTGTCACACTAAGAATGTTCCAACAGCAAGAACAGCAATACTCTAGTACAGTCATAGAACCCATAACTGCCATGTACTCACATTAAGCATAATCTTAAGCTTACAACACTCATGTCTAATCGGACTAGTGATATGACATTTGATACATGCTACTACACAGCACTGACTGTGCAGTCATATAACACAAAAACCTTCATGCAAACCACACACACCAATAAAAAAGGTTACAATAGGGCTTGTTAATTAGGTCACACTGCTATTTCTTCAAATGATACATCTAGCACCCATTGATACTCTCACTACATGGCAAACCCAATACCAAACAAAACACAAGCAGCTAGAATACCTTACTAAACAAAAAACTTACCTTATGAAAAATTTGAGAACATATATTCCACCGACAAACAAAGATATATCAGCTTCTTTTACAGCTGTTCCGGAGTAGTGCTGCTGCCTGTATTATATGCCCTACACAGTGTCTTCCTTACCCATGTGGCCCGTCTTCAAATTTACGATATTATATCTAAATGTGAATAAATCCAGATATATTGCACAAAATTAAAGTTAAAACTGAAGACTTTTTAAGTTCATCTTGAAATCTGTCAAGGTCATCACACAAAACCTTGAAAACACAGATTACCCTCCACTTGACATCTTTTCTACATGCAGAGACTGGAGTTAAAGATACACAGGATAAATAACACTCACCAAAAGAATATGGTTAAACAATATACTGTACTAACATGAAAGCTTTAGAAGCGGAGAGGTGGGGAGAAGAGTGGAGGTAACGAGAGGCAGTCACCCGAGTCAGCTGGACTCATAACACAGGAAGTAAACAAACCACTCCAGCTAACTCACAACTTTTACTCAGGAACATAACTCTCTTATTTCACTAAGATAATTTTCTACTTATTACTTAAAATTTAAAACAAATGAATTATATAACATATATATTCATTAGTATCTTTCATTTCATTAGAGAAATATACATTTTAATACGATTCAAGACAAAACCTATTTTATTGTCCAAAGTAAAAACAAATTATTTTTTTTTAACAAGCTTAGGAAGAATTAATTAGTGATCACCATGCAATACTTAGCACATACACAATCAAAGATGTTAAATCATGTAGCGAGTAGATTATCCCAATAATATATTGGGTTATATATATATATATATATATATATATATATATATATATATATATATATATATATATATATATATATATATATATATATATATATATATATATAAATAAATAAATAAATAAATATGTTTATTCAGGTAAGGTACATACATACAAGTGATGTTACATTAATGGATTGATATATAGATAGAGCTAGTACATACAATGCCTAAAGCCACTATTACGCAATGCGTTTCGGGCAAGAAAAACATTAATATCTAGAACTTAATACTAATTGAGCATAAAGAATAAAAAGTGTTGAAAACAAATACAAATAAAGATAAAAAAAAGGGGGAACATGACTGAAAAAGCAGCACAAATACAATAGGTTGACAAACAGTGTTGATTAAAAAAAAAATATAATAATAATAAAATAAAATAACAGACATGGGTTGACAATAAAGGAGTGAGGTGGGTTACAGGGAATTTATTAGGTATTGTTTAGTTTTTATCTTAAACTGGTTGAGAGAGGTACAGTCTTTAACATGGTTGGGAAGGTCATTCCACATTCTGGGTCCCTTGATTTGTAGAGCATTTCTAGTTTGATTAAGTCGTACTCTAGGAATATCAAAACTGTATTTATTCCTGGTGTGGTGCTCATGGGTTCTGTTACAACCTTCAATGAAGCTTTTGAGGTCAGGATTGGCATTACAGTTCAGCGTTTTATATATGTATAATACACAAGAGAGAATGTGCAGTGACTTAATATCTAACATATTCAGAGATTTGAGTAAGGGTACCGAGTGATGTCTGGGGCCAGAGTTGGTTATTGTCCTAATAGCAGCTTTGAGTTGGGTAATGAGAGGACGTAAATGATTTTGGGTAGTAGAACCCCAAGCACAAATACCATAGTTGAGGTATGGATAGATGAGGGAGTAATAGAGAGTAACCAGAGCAGGGCGGGGTACATAATATCTGATCTTAGAAAGAATGCCAACAGTTTTTGAAACTTTTTTTGATATATTTAGAATGTGACCCTGGAAATTCAGCTTGTGGTCGATGAGAACGCCAAGGAATTTGCCATCTAATTTGTTACAAATTTGGGTATTGTTTATTTTGAGATTTATCTGATTAGAGGATTTATTGCCAAACAGAATATAAAACGTTTTGTCAATGTTAAGGGTGAGTTTGTTGGCAGTTAGCCAAAGATGGACTTTCTCTAGCTCAGTATTTACTGTGGCATTTAGAGCAAGGGGGTCAGGACTGGAGTAAATGAAGGTTGTGTCGTCAGCAAATATAATTGGTTTGAGGTGTTGGGAGGCATTTGGAAGGTCATTAATGTAGATGAGAAAGAGGAGAGGGCCAAGTATGCTGCCCTGAGGAACACCAATGTTGATGGGTAGGGTGGGAGAAATTGTATTATTCACAGAAACATACTGGAGCCTGTCAGTAAGATAAGATTTGAGGTATTGCAGGGAGTGTCCTCTGACTCCATAATGATGTAATTTAAGAAGAAGGTTTTGATGGTTGACAGTGTCAAAAGCCTTACGCAGGTCCACAAATAACCCAACAGGAAACTCCTTTTTATCAAGAGCTGCGTGAATTACGTTAATCATACTAATAAGTGCATCGTTAGTGCTTTTTTTGGGTCTGAAGCCATATTGACAAGAGCTAAGTATATTGTGTTTGGCTAGAAAAGAGTAAAGCTGCTTGTAGATTAGCTTTTCGAATATTTTTGACAAGTTAGGCAGGATTGATATAGGTCTGTAGTTGTTAACATCAGTGAGATCACCACATTTGTAGACAGGGGTTACTCTTACTCTATATATATATATATATATATATATATATATATATATATATATATATATATATATATATATATATATATATATATATATATATATATATATATATATATACACTCTATATATATACATATACATATATACACTCTATATATATACACTCTATATATATACACTCTATATATATACATATATATATATATATACATATATATATATACATATATATATATATATACACTCTATATACAATATACACAATATATATATATATATATATATATATATATATATATATATATATATATATATATATATATATATATATGCAGAATAACCACATATGAAAAATATATGATATTTGAAGTTGAATTTGCTGAAATCTCCTCCACCGGGAATCTGGACTGGTTTTGAAGGTCTACTCCCCATGGTTGTCATAACTTCAATTAAGTTGTGATCTGAGTAACAGGTATTTGTAATCATTATGTTCCTGATCATTATTAGTGAAAATGAGGTCCAGCATGTTCTCCTTCCTAGTTGGTTCTACTATTTGCTGGTTTAAGGCAAACCTGTCGCACATCCGTAGCAGGTCATTTGCATGTGCCTGTTCATTTAGGCTACTTCCTGGTATTCTTTCTGATATTACTGTATTAGCCAGGTGCTTCCATTTCAGGTGCCGTAGGTTGAAGTCCCCAAGCAGGATGATGTTCGGAGCTGGATTTGTGAGGTTTTCCAAGCAGTGTTCTATTTTCATTAGTTGGTCTTTAAACTGCTGAGGGTTTGCCTCCGGTGACTTATATACAAGGACAATAACTACATTTAAAATCTCTATTTTGATTATCAGCACTTCCACCATATCATTTGAGGTGTTTAGCAGCTCAGTACAGATGAGTGTGTCTTTGATGTAGAGGCTGACCCCACCCTGAAGCCGGTGTTTCCTATCACATCTGAAAAGATTGTACTCTGAGATCCATATTTCACCATCATGGTAGTCCTTGATGGTAGTTGGTGTTCAGGCTGCGAGCAGCCGCGTCCAACAGCCTGGTTGATCAGTCCAGCAACCAGGAGGCCTGGTCGACGACCGGGCCGCGGGGACGCTAAGCCCCGGAAGCACCTCAAGGTAAGGTAAGGTAAGGTAAGGGTCCTTTGTGTGGGTTTCTGTTAGGGCTGCAAACACTGCATTTGCCTCATGAAGGAGACCATCTATAAATTGAACTTTGTTGGTTTTGCGTGTTTTTATACCCTAGATGTTGGCAAATATAAATGATGTTATCGTGTTAGTGGAAGTGCTGGAAGCCTTACTTTGTGTTAATATCTGAGGCTCTGATAAGGAAGCCACTGTGTTTGCGTCCAGGGTGTGTCGTTTTGGAAGTGATTCGTCCAGTTTTGGTAGTAGGACGGGTGTTGTCTGGTGTAGTACCTGTGTGCTTGTTGTTAATTTGAATTCCAGTCTTGTGGGTATCTCCGTTCCCCTCTGTAATCCTGCAGTGGTTCCATCTGACTGTTCCTCTCTCTTATATTTACTACTCTGTTTCTGCCTTCCTCTAAAAAATTCTTCCCATGCAAGATTTCATAACACTCTTCAACCACACTCACTTGCCTGTTTTTCTGCTTGCAGACCTCAATGCACAACATCCTACATTCCACCACAATACCACAAATCAGCATGGCAGACAGCTTCACCAAATATACACCCAAAAACATCTATTCTTTCTTGGCCCTGATTTCCCCACTTGTTTCACACATGCAGGTTCTGGCAGGCCTGATCTCATATTCACCAACAGACATGGCAGCAACTTGCAACACTTCATTTCACCAGGGCCCATTACGGGCTCTGATCATATTCCCTTAATTCTCACAGTCTCCACAAATCCTATTCTCATCCCCAGCACTCCTCAATTCTCATACCTTAGGGCAAACTGAGACATGTTCAAACAACACATTGATGACACTGATCTCACTTATGAATACAATGACAAACATCACACTGACATCGACACACAAGCACGCAACATACAAGACACCATCATTCATGCAGCAAACATCTCCATTCCTAAAACAACACACAAACCACATTTCACTTTCACCTCTTCCATTCGCTCAAAACGCCTCTTAGCTTGCTATCACACTAGATTCTTACAAAACATACATCGTCATGGACAAATACTATGGGACCTAACAACATTAAAAAACCACATCCTTAACAGCCTAGATGAAGATCACACAAAACATTGGAAACACCTTATAGAACAAGCAGAACAATACAGAAAACTGACACCTCAAGAATTCTGGAAACACATCCTCCTGAACCATTTGCCCGCCCCAACATTGAAATAGTCGAAGACTGGATACACCAAAATAGACAAGCAACTACACCAGACGACCTCATCCACCTTGAAAATCTCAATTCAAACACTGAACTACAGACTCCCCTAACTCTAGCTGATGTCAAGACAGCTCTCATGGGCACTCGTCGTAGAGCCCCTGGTGCGTCTAGCATTGGACATATCCTTCTTAGACAACTCCCTGCTTCTATCATTACTGCTATCACTAACCTATTCAACGCCTCCCTTGCCTCTGGATACTTTCCACTCAACTTTAAGTCTGCCACAGCCGTTCTTATTCCAAAACCTGGGAAACCCCACACTGACCCAAAGAACTATAGACCCATCAGCCTTCTAGAGACACTTGGCAAAGTCTTTGAAAGGCTGATCAACCAGAGACTTAGAACCCACCTTGAACACAATGACTTACTCACTAACAAACAGTTTGAATTTCGGCCTCACCGGTCCACTCACGACACCTTAAACATCATGACTAACTACCTCAGTATCAATCAGCACCAAAGACTTAAGACTGCACTCACCACTAAGGACGTTGAGAAGGCCTTTGACACTGTTTG